GGGGGGGGGGGGGGGGGGGGGGGGGGGGGGGGGGGGGGGGGGATCTGCCCCTTGCAAAAAAAAATGCACTTCTGTTCAGCTTCGGAGGGGGGTGGGAGTACCGCAGATTTCTGATGTCATGGGGGTATCGCACCATCATGTTTGTTATTGGGGCATTTCTTACGTTGTGGCCGTGATTGAGCTTTATGTTTCTTAGCCCTTTTTTCTTATTTTTCGTTCAACCTTGAGCCTTTTTTCTTAAACTGCGGGCGCTATCTGTATTTTTACGCGAAGGGGTGGCGAGTACCGTGAGACGCAGTACCTTCTTTCGAAGACCGTTCATTCGTTCACTCATGAAACTCAACAGAGCCGTAGAGCAAAGCCGCGGGGGGAGGTTCAGGGAACTATTCGCGATATATATGTGGAAGGAAAAGCCATCCAGGTAGCTTTTGGTCTCCGCCGGGACAGTGATATGTACTGGTGTTCCTTGGTGCGACGCTGGAATACGCTCGTTTTTTTTTTTGTTTCACAAGAATGAGAGAAATATATGTCTACTTGGACTTTCCTCCTCCTTCCGCTGTCGGCTATGCAGTTCATTAGTTCGTCAAGTACAAACTGGTGTGCTGTAGTGTTGACAAACACGTCCCCGACTGCTGTAAATATCATTTTAAGTATTGCAAATATGTTCGACGTCAACAAACGGTTGCCAGTCGTCTCGGCGATGCTGACCATCCCCTTCCTTAGCAAAAGGCGCGGAGTAAAGGTATAGCATGCCTCCATTGGCCCCGGGGATGATGAGCTATCGTCCCCTGAATTTTAAGGACGCAACCCCGCTTTAGGGACGTTTTTTTTTCGGGAAAAACCATGTGCGTCCTTGAAGCGGGGTCGACTGTACTGCTGTTGTGTTGCGAGGCGAACATGTTCCTCCGTTGTTGATTTTATTGGAACATGCACACCATATTTTTAACAATCACCGGACGCGGATTTTTTTTTTGGGGGGGGGTTCACTTCGAATCAGCGCTCACAGCACTATTTAGTGCCGTTTACTCCAACCAGTGGTCATACACCGGTCGCCCCGGTGGTCTAGTGGATGGCCTCGCAGCCTGCGAACGGCCAGGTCATGAGTTCGAGTCCCGACAGAGTGAGTTTTTTCTCGCTAATTGAATCCTGGTCTCCGTTGGAAGCGACGCGCTGCAAAGCTCGTTGCTAGTAAACTTGATCGACTTCAGAAGTCGCTAGGGAAGGGATTGCTGTACCCTTCTCGCGATAAAAACATATCAGGCAGGAACCGCAGGAGGGGGTCCAACCCCCTCCCCCCATGTGACCCCGGTTGGGTCGTCTAGCTGGTAGAAGTGGAGGGTAGGGGCCTGAGGAGCAGACGACAGAGTCCAATAATGGGAGAAAAAAAAAAAAAACAGAGAGGGTAGCCTCCCCTCCTGCGGTGCCTTGCCTTGATTNGAAGTCGCTAGGGAAGGGATTGCTGTACCCTTCTCGCGATAAAAACATATCAGGCAGGAACCGCAGGAGGGGGTCCAACCCCCTCCCCCCATGTGACCCCGGTTGGGTCGTCTAGCTGGTAGAAGTGGAGGGTAGGGGCCTGAGGAGCAGACGACAGAGTCCAATAATGGGAGAAAAAAAAAAAAAACAGAGAGGGTAGCCTCCCCTCCTGCGGTGCCTTGCCTTGATTTTTAGTGCGAGAAGAGTTCAGCACTCTCTTCCTTCTGTGCACACACGAAGTAGCGCTATCCACTGGGCCAGGAGCGGAAGCGAGAGAAAAACTCACGTTGCAATAAAAGTCCGCTTACGCCGGGATTCGACACCTTGACCTGACCCCTAAAACGTGTCGGGGATACCAACAAGACCACCGGGGCGACCGGCTGATACAGAAAAAGGCGTATTATTATTTTCCGTGCGTCGTGGAAGATCCGTTCGAATAGTAGACTATTCCGCAAAGAAAGTACATGTATTGCGCGTCCTTGGTTGCTGCGTTGCTGCCTGGAATGCAGAGTGTCTCGCACCTTGCACAGCATCGTAGATAGACTCCTGCGAGGTATTGAGTTGTCACCCGCGGCTCATAACTCCCCCCTATCTAGTATTAAGTACCAGGTTCCTCCGGCGGGAAGGTTGTTTCTTTCTTATGATGGATTTAAGCACGAGAAAAGAGCCAGGATCAAAATCCCTATTCTGAACTCTGAACCCCGCTTGGTAGTATTGTAGGTTGCGTAAGATATCACACCCCCTGGCCCGACTTGCAAAGCTCTCGAAACACTCGGCGGGAAAAACAGCAGTGATGGTGCCGGAATCGCGGCGTTAATTTCCCTCATGGAGAGATTGCCGAAAATGCATCATTTGAGTTTGGCATCCTCTTCGCCGTGGAACAATCGAGGTTTTAAGTTCGGTCGTCGAGGGGGTGGTCTCTTGATGTAACTTGTTGTTGCTCTTGTTGTTGTTGTTTCTCACATTAGCTCCTAGTCCACAAAAAATGGGGAGCCCGTGGTCTCAAAACCCGGCACATACGACGCCGCGGGCAAACAAAACAAAAATAGGGTACAAACCACTCGGAAGAGGAAAAAAATATGACAAAAAGAAAAGAACAGCTACATATCGCACCGACCGTTCGAGAAAAGAGCCCTCGGAAACGGATCGAAATAAAAGAAAAAATAGAAAAAATAAAAGAAAGGGGGACGCTTCCCACACCTATAGAAAAAATCAAAGGGTAACGTACCAGCACCAGGCAATACGCACCAGGGCATGGGAGTAACGGAGCAAACAGGACGAAGAGGCGGCAGATGGGCAGACAGCCAGATGTACAAAAACAAAAGCAACAGCAACAGCGAGATCAAGGTACCCAACACGGCAGAGTAGGCAGGGAGGTCATGAAAAAAAGAATCCAGCACAGAGGCCGAAGGCAATACAAAGGACATACATACAGTAGTTTAGCATACAGCAGGGAGGGAAACAGGGCGCAACAACACCAGCCGGGTACATAGTTCGCCACAAGTGCTGCCTCGGCCGCCCTACTCGCTTCTACAGCAGTGCCCGGTCGCCGTTTCTCCCCCCCCACCGCCGCTTCCCCGACTCTCTTTCTTGTGTGTGCTGCCGAACTCGCCCTTGGGCACCAGCTGTTGGGCAGTTGGGAACCTGAACCAATGATATCAAACCAGATTAGCAGACTCACTTTCGTGACTCGGACCCTCCCTTTTCCATGGTGGTTTGATGCAAGCACGGCAACCATATTGCTCGCTGGGCAGAAGTGCAAATGTAATGTCGCGCTGGGTGCGCGACCGCTCTTATTGTTGCCGTCGTAAGGAAGCGTGATGCTGTTCTGAACAAGAAGGAAGGACTACGGGAGAGATTTGTTTTATTTTGCGTTTATTTATTTTGCTAATTGACGAGATCTACCAGATCTCCGTCCAGATCTCCGTTTTCGGAACTCCGGAGATCCATGTCTCGCATCATCACCATGCATACGTGGCGGAAGATATTTATTTATTTATTTTTGCCTTCCGACAATTGCAGATGTACCTCAGAAAACTTTCACTTAAACCCTCCTCTCCAAGGCGGCCAAAGCTTTCCACGGCTAAGGTGGTAGACTAATCGGGGTTCAACCACATCTATCAATCCGACGGCAGCAGCAGTACTAGATATGGGGGGGTAATGAGCCGCGTGGTGCGACTCAATACCTTGCAGTAGTCTTATCTGTGATGCTGATGGTGCACGAATCCCGGCACACACCAGCGTGAATCGCTTGTGGTGCAGCTACGCGTGCACCACAGAGGGACAGCAGGTGTGCGACGGGAGCGACGATGATTGTACGTGCGGCCACCGTTCAAAATTTTGCACTTTACATGCGGCTGTTACTTTCCGTTTTGATGCACATACATGCACGAAGAAACAAATTGTGAAGTCTTCCCGACGTGCGGGCGAGCAACCACACACGCACTGCTTCAGCCCTTGGCCAATTCGTGTGTGATCACCACTTCCACCACGCACGCTCAGTAGCGTGGTGGAAGGTAGTAGCAGCAGCAGCGGTAGACTGATGGACTGACGTGAAATCTCTTTGCCCTGGAGCCTCCAGTCGCATCGGCGATGAGTGGTGTCATGAACCAAGATTTGGCACCACCATCACCCGTACCTGGACCTGCGCCACGATGCCCAACGGAAGTACGGTACTCATGTCCCTTCTGCATCAGCGAAGGATCAACGAACCTGACAGCGAGAAATCTGGCTACACACCAAATACGTCAGCATAAAGGTCGAGGAAAGAAGCTACTACTCAGTTTGTCTCCTCCTGGATCCTTACGCTCAAGCTGCCAAGCACCTGGTTACGCCGCATGTGGCACATGCGGCGACCTTTTCTCTCCACGCACCAAGCATTGTTGCGAATCAGGTATGAAAGGTAAACTACGCGGGGTGCAGCAAGCCCGTCCTGGGCGTTACTTGGGGCACTGGGTAGTCGGCCGTATTAGGCCGAGAGTGAGATATTGAGAGAGAAGTGTAGAGAGAGTGGGAGAAGGAAACTTGATTGGAGAGAAACGGCGGTAGCGTTGGAAGGAGAGAAGAAAAAAGTGTGGCGCAACACGCACGCAAGCCTCATCGTTCCAACCGCACCAAAAGGGTCCCCGTGACTGCACCGGTGGTACCCTACAGCACACGAAATTCCCAACACGTATCCTCTTGGGATCCTCACGACCAGATACTGCTGCGAGTATATGTAACATCCCCCCTGCTCGCAACAGCTTCTCACTGAAAACTTCGCCCACATCCGATATCTCAACCCAAGTAACGTCTTTTCAAGAATAAATGCCATCAAGACTTTACCAAAATATAAGAAAGAAAAATCGTTCGAAGACACATGAATGAATGCTGGCGCGGAAAATGAAAGCAAAACCAAAACACAACCCATCAGAAAAACAATAAATGTTCATGCCAAATTCATCACAAAATCACGATGAGACTCGAAAGTGTCCTTCGGCAAGCTCTTCGTAAGAAAATCAGCACGCTGGTATGTGTTATAAGGTCCTGTCTCAGCCAGGTAAACGGTTAACCTTTTACCGGGTGGCTGAGTGGTCCACCTTCTTGACATATGGCGTCGTCTAGGACATGACAATGTCTGAGTTCGAATCCCGACTTTGCTCGATGCTTTCGAATTTGGTATATTAATTTGCACCCCCTTTGCTCGCCAGGGGGGGGG